TAGGTGCTTGGCGATCTTGCTCCTTAGAACCCTTTCAAATATTTTTATGATATGGGATGTTTGTGCTATCGGTCTGCTTTACTGTCTGTTGTTTTTAGCGAGTGTGGGATGACCCCTGTGTCCATGCTTCCTCTCCATAGAATGCTGAAGGCACTTGACATGCCTATGCACTCTGCCTGGAGTAGAGTGCATAGGCATGTCATTTATTGCCTTTTCAGTGTCTTGTGGTGTTAGGACAATATCAGAGATTTTTGAGATGACCAAATTTTGGGTCTCAGACATTTAGATTCTCGACATTTAATCTGGTTAACGGCTCGCTGAAAACTGAGTCCTACTGGGACTTTAGTATCTCTCTCATTTCTTGGCAGTCTTCTGTGTAGGTCCCATCTCGCCTAAGCAGGGGCCCAATACTGGATGTTGTTTTACCCTTAGATTTGCCATAAGAGAAGAAGTATTTTGACGTACACAGTGTACAGTGTCTTGAAGGAATCTTTACTAATATGTCGAAACGCTATTCTTAGGCTTGCCAGGCGCCCAGATGCTGCAGCAGTTAATTGGTTCATGTGCGCCTCAGGAGATGTGCTCGGTATGATACTCACCCCAGAATCTTCTTCCTTGAGTGAGCTTTGCAGCCTTTAACCACCTAGGCTGTACTTTGTCTGCAGTCTTCTTTGTCCTTCCACAAACTTCATGACTTTGCATTTGCTGGAGTTAAACTCCAGGAATCATTTGTTTGGATCAGGCTTGCAGCCTGTCCAGATCTCCTTGCAGGTTTTCCTGATCCTTGTCCAATTGTATTCTTCTCAATAGCTTCATATAGTCTGCAAACAGAGAAACCTTTGAATCTGTCCCTTCTGTCATGTCATTCACGTATATTAGAAACAGCACTGGACTCAGGAGTGACCCTTACGGAACCCCACTCGACACATGTACCCACTCTGATACCTCGTCGCGTACTAGCACACGTTATATTCCCTGATCCATTGCAGTATTTTCTCTGCTATTCCTGTCTGCTTCTCTAGCTTTTCAACCAGTCTCTTGCGTGGTACAGTATTGAAGGCCTTCTTACAGTCCAAAGAGATGGAGTCTATCCATCCCAGTCTCTCCTGTCTTACTTCTGTTACCTTATCGTAAAATTCTAGTAGGTTTGTGATGCAATATTTTCCTTCACTGAAGCTATGCTGGTTGCCATGTATCATCCCATTCCTTTCTAGGTGCTCCATTACTCTTCTCCTGATAATCTTCTCCATAACTTTATATACTATACATATCAGCGAGACAGGTCTGCAATTTAGTGCTACCTGTCTGTCTCCTTTCTTAAAAATTGGGACTACATTTGCTGTCTTCCACACCTCAGGCAGTTGCCCTGTTTCAATAGATTTATTGAAGATTATTTTAAGCGGCACAGATAGTGCATCTGTTCCCTCTCTCAGAACCCACGGTGAGATGTATTCTGGACACACCGGCTTCGAGGTATCTAGTTCACTTAGCAGTTTCTTCATCTCCTCCTTAGTTGTGTGCAGTGTGTCCAGCACTTGCTGGTGAACCCTACTCCCTCGGTATGCTGGAAGCCTCTCTGTGTCCACTGTGAATACCTCTCTCTGAATCTTGAACTGAGTTTTTCACATACATCCTGGTCGCTCCCTTCCTTTCATCAGCCTGATTACCCGGTCCTTGACAGGTGTTTTCCTCCCGATGTGGTTGTATAACAACTCTGGGTCAGATTTGGCTTTTGATGCTATGTCATTCATGTATTTCCTCTGGGCCTCTCTCCTTATCATTTCTGGTTCTTTGGCTCTGCTCCCTGTTTTCTCGAGTCTTTTACGTTCTATAGTTTTTACGAACTCTAGCATACTTGGCCTCGGCCTCTTCACACCTCCGGCTAAACCATCAATTTATTTATTGTCTTTCCTTTTAGCTCTCTTACCCACTGCACCTCATGCAGGAATTGCCTCACATATGTGTAGTTTCCTTTTCTGAAGTTTGGTTTCTCCTGTTCTTCTCATCCTGCCTCGCTCTTTATTGTTAACTCTAGCGCCGAGGAGCATTTCATGTGAGATTTGCTCTACGTCTGAACTGGTTCATCGTCTCCTCTTTCTCTGGTTGTGTCCGTAACATTTTGGTACATGAAGCTTTCCAGCACCATCTCCAGCAGCTTGGTTCTCCATGTCTCCGGTCCCCCATGTGGCTCCAGACTTTCCCACTCCTTGTGGCCACCATCATTCTGTTACTCCCATCACATTCTTGTCTTGGTCTTCTGCTGTTTGGTGGTGGGTTGTACATCACTGCTATCATCACTTTTGGACCCCCAGTTAGAAGTATTCCTACTAAGTAGCTATCAGCTTCACCTCTGACTAGTCCTCTCATCTCCTCAATATCACCTGACTGAGAGCACCTTGTAATTCGCTTCAGGGGTTGTCACGTTCAGTAATACGTGTAGTTTACTTGGGTAAGCCACAAAACACTAAAATTCACTGAACACTAATGTTGTTGTTACTCCCGCGCCACCGTGTACTCACCTAATTGTGGTTGCAGGTGTCGATTCATAGGTCCTAGCCTCACCTCTTCTTTCTTCCCTGTGTGTGTATGTGTGTGTGCGTGAGCGCGCGTGCGCATGTATATGTATTTACGTACTCAACTCGCCGTGCTTGCAGAAGTTGAGCCATATCTCCTGGCACCGCCTATTGGTTACTGTCGACCTGCGTCCTCATTCCCCTCACCACCACCAACGACCGATCGTACCCATTCCCAGTGGAATCTATACAATCTTTGTCCCTCACCATCACCTCTCCAACCAGCTCACGCCAATTATTCACTATCCTGGGAGTGTGATTTCCCCTACGTCTGAACTGTTGAAGATGAATACAAGGTCCAGCCTTGCTGGTTCATCGTCTCCTCTTACTTATGTAGGTGGCGAGTCTCGTTAGGACTGATAATACATATCGTTTACTCAAGGGAAAAGTAAATGCTATTTCTTAATGAAAAATAGGAATAAAGTTGAAGGGGGAAAAATAAAAATGTGCAGAGAAACGAGAGAGAAAAGTGCGCAGAGAAATAAGAGAAGAATTTGCAGAGATAGAAAAAAGTACAGAGAAATAATTGAAAAAAGTGTAGGGAAATAACAGAAAAAAGTTTCGAAAAATAAGAGAAGAAATTATTGGGAAATATGAAACTCAAAAGAGTATTAATGTATGCTCATTTATTATTATTATTATTATTATTATTATTATTATTATTATTATTATTATTATTATTATTATTATTGTTATTATTATTATTACTATTATTATCATTGTTACAACTACTACTACTGTTACTGCTTCTATTGCTATTATCATTGTTATTATTATTATTAATATATTCATGGTTAAGCGCTAAGCCCGTAAGGGCCATACAGAGCACCTCGTAAAGTCATTCAAATTTATTCTAAAGGAAGGGGAAGGTAACTCCATTTCCATGAAACAAGAGCTCTTCACTGGCATTAAAGAATCCTCTTCCCCCTTCTGGAGAGAGAATACAAGATTGTCAGTTGTTTGTGTAAACAACACACATGTGGCATACCAGTGTGTTTTTGTTGCACGTATGTTGCACATGAGTTGCACATGTGCATTCATCAACTTCTTGATTATTGATTGCCATCAACTATGCGATTGCTAACGATTGAGGGAGAATTTGGTGGTGGAGGAGGTTCTATGGAGAATGGAGGGTTGTGCAAGATGGTCTGGGGAGGAAGGAGGGTTTTGCAAGATGGTCTGGGGAGGAAGGAGGGTCTTGCAAGATGGTCTGGGGAGGAAGGAGGGTTCTGCAAGATAGTCTGGGGCTGGGGAGGAACGTGGGTTCTGCAAGACGGTCGGAAGGAGGGTTTTGCAAGATGATCTGAGGAGAAAGGAGGGTCCTGCAAGATGGTCTGAGGAGGAAGGAGGGTCTTGCAAGATGGTCTGGGGAGGAAGGAGGGATCTGCAAGATGATCTGGGGAGGAAGGAGGGTCCTGCAAGATGGTCTGGGGAGGAAGGAGGGTTTTGCAAGATGGTCTGGGGAGGAATTAGGGTCCTGCAAGATGGTCTGGGGAGGAAGGAGGGTCTTGCAAGATGGTCTGGGGAGGAAGGAAGGTTCTGCAAGATGATCTGAGGAGGAAGGAGGGTCCTGCAAGATGGTCTGGGGAGGAAGGAGGGTCCTGCAAGATGGTCTGGGGAGGAAGGAGATTCCTGCAAGATGGTCTGGGGAGGAAGGAGGGTCCTGCAAGATGGTCTGGGGAGGAAGGAGGGTTCTGCAAGATGATCTGGGGAGGAAGGAGGGTCCTGCGAGATGGTCTGGGGAGGAAGGAGGGTCCTGCAAGATGGTCTGGGGAGGAAGGAGAGTTCCGCAAGATGATCTAGAGAGGAAGGAGGGTTCTGCAAGATAGTCTGGGGCTGGGGAGGAACGTGGGTTCTGCAAGATGGTCTGGGGAGGAAGGAGGGTTCTGCAAGATAGTCTGGGGAGGAAGGAGGGTTCTGCAAGATAGTCTGGGGCTGGGGAGAAAGGATTGTTCTGTAATAGGTTCAGGTAAGGAAGGAGGGTCCTGCAAGAGGTTTAGGGATGGAAAGAAGTTCTGCACGGGGTTCTTGGGAGGAAAAAGTTTTGCAAGAGGATATGGGGAGGAAAGAGATCCTTTTAGAGATTCTGGGGAGGAAGGAGGTCCTGCAAGAAGTTCTGGATAGGATGGAAGGTCGTACAAGAGGTTCTGGGTCTTGAGGAATTAAATCTGCACTAGGCAATATGTATGAAACGTGTATAGTGTTGTAGAAATGTGATTTTTTTCTGTACGTGTATTAATATGTTTCTTTTTTCTACTGACCCATATCCTTCCCTTCCTTTCCCTCTCTCTGTCTCTCTCTCTGTCTCTCTGTCTATCTGTCTGTCTGTCTCTCTGTCTGTCTGTCTGTCTGTCTGTCTCTGTCTGTCTCTCTCTCTCTCTCTCTCTCTCTCTCTCTCTCAACTACGTCCCCCCATCTCCCACACAGGTGGCAGGGAGGTGAAGATAGGTGAATTTGATGGTTTCGAGAACGTACTTGAGCTGGACAAGGGACACCCTATCTACTGGCCAGGAGGCAACCCTCCGCTTGACCGCACCGTCAAGCTTATCGAGAAGACCAGTGTCAACATCAGCATCTACGCCATCCTGGTTACCATAGCTTCATCTGGTATCGTCATGGCCTCCATCTTCCTCGCCATCAACATCAAGTACAGGAATCAGAGGTGAGTGGTTGGTTGGTGGGGGTGGTGAGAAGTGGTGGTGTTAGTGGTGGTGACGGAAATGATGGTATGGGAGGGTAGTGGTGGTGGTAGTGGTGAGAAATGGTTGTAGTAAGGTTGTAGTAGTGGTGACAAGTGATGGTGATGTTGGTCCTTTTATTTATACAAGTACTTTTGTGTTGAAAATGGTATAATTACATATAAGCTGACGATTAAGACACACGTGCAACTTTAGTACATGTGTCGTAATCATTAACTTGGCGGGGTTTTATATCATTTTCAAGATAACCGTCAGACACTGTATCACAGCGGTATCTTGGTACAGAGGACATCTTCCACACTCATCGCTTAACTACTAATTAAGAGTGAGAAAGGTTGGATTCCACTGGGAGCTGCATTCTTACTTCTACTAGTGAATCCCGTCCCCTACGACGCCTTCGAGATCTTCCACCTCACCTTCGACAGCATTTTAGACTTCATTCTTCTGCTTCAGCTTCATATCGTTTCAGACCATGAAGGTGAAATCTCCTCCAGGCTGAGGGACTGACCACCTTGTTTCAGACCATGAAGGTGAACTCTCCTCCAGGCTGAGGGACTGACCACCTTGTTTCAGACCATGAAGGTGAACTCTCCTCCAGGCTGAGGGACTGACCACCTTGTTTCAGACCATGAAGGTGAACTCTCCTCCAGGCTGAGGGACTGACCACCTTGTTTCAGACCATGAAGGTGAACTCTCTTCCAGGCTGAGGGACTGACCACCTTGTTTCAGATCATGAAGGTGAACTCTCCTCCAGGCTGAGGGACTGACCAATCAAATACTATTTCTCCAGGGTTGATGGATTGATTACATCATCTTCATTTCGCTACTACACCTACTTCCTCTGGGCGAAACGTTTTAACAATAAAGATACCCAACTCTTGCACTTGTGTCTATCGTTAACAAATACATTTGTTTTCATCTTCTTCCTCCTCAACCTCCTTCTCCTCCTCCTCCTCCTCCTCCCTTTCCCCTCCTCCTCCAATTCCTCCTCCAACCCCTCATCCTGCTCATCCTCCAACTCATCCTATCCTTCAACTCATCGTAATCCTCCTCCAGCTTCTGCTTCTCATCCTCCTCCAACTCTCCTCATCCTACTTCATAGTCGTCCTAATCGACCTCTGCTTCTTCTTCATCTTCTTCTTCTCCTCCTCTCCCTTTTTTTTGGGGGGATGGGGGGTGTCTAGCCTAGAAACAGTGATGGTGGAGGGGTTAAGAAGGACCATAACAATGGATGCAGTGTCGTCCCGCTGAGCTAATCACCGATGGCATCCATAACACAGATGGAGCAGAAAATCCTCACTGTAATCCCGTAGAGCTGCGTGAGGCTAGAAGATGAGAGCAGTGGCGGACCTACATTTTTTCGGGGGGCCCTGAAGCTTGAACTGTTATGGGTGCCCCTTGGCAACCCCTTCTCATACAGTAGACCCAAAATTTTTGAGTTATGTGGACTAAAGTGGCTTTTGGAGCCCCTAAGGGATTAGAGGCCCTGAAGGTTAAGCATCATTAGTTTCATAGTGGATCCGCCCCTGGAGGAGAGAGAGAGAGAGAGAGAGAGAGAGAGAGAGAGATTTTAAGTTACCACACGCAAACCTTCGAAACAACAACCTCCTAACAACCCCGTCTCCGGGTGTTAGGAGGTGAGATGAGTGGGATGAGTGGGAGTGAGGGAGGAATGAGGATGGAAAATAAAAGGAGAGGGGTAGACGGAGGAAAGAAAGAAGGTAATAGCTAACTGGAGACAGAAAGGGAGGAGAGGGATGGAGGGAGATGTGAAAAGAGACCATGGAGGTCACAGAGATCATAGAGGAAACATGGGCCACATAGGTCACAAAGGTCACGGGAGCTACAAATGACATGGGGGCCACAGAGGTTCTGAAAGCCAAAGAGGTCATACAGGCCACAGAGATCATGGACGCCACATAGGTCACAGAAGCCACTGAGGTCATGGAAGCCACAGAGGTCACAGAAGCCACAGAGGTCATGGAAGCTACAGAGGTCTTGGAGGCCACAGAGGTCGTGGAGGCCACAGAGGTCATGGAGGCCACAAAGGTCAAAAAAGCCGAAGAGGTCACGGAGACCACAGAGGCAACTAAAGACAGAGAGGCCATGGTGGTCACAGAGGTTACGGAAGCCACAGAGGCCATAGCGGACACAGAGACCACAGACATCACATAGGCCACAGAGACCATAGAGGCATAAAGACCATGGAGACCACAGAGAAAAGGGAGGCCACAGAGGACAGGGAGGTGACAGAGGGTAGGGGGTCACAGAAAACGGAGGTCACAAAGGTCAGGGAAGTTACAGAGGGCAGGGATGTCATCAGAGTGCAGATGCACTGATCTTAACATTGAGCTCAGGTCAAATTGACTAATATTTAATAGGAAATTAACCTCATCTGAGGCGTCCAGGGCCAGACCCACTGGTCTGGGAGACCACCAGGGCCAGACCCACTGGTCTGCGAGATCACCAGGGCCAGACCCACTGGACTGGGAGATCACCAGGGCCAGACCCACTGGTCTGGAAGAAAACCAGGGCCAGACCCAATGGACTGGGAGATCACCAGGGCCAGACACACTGGATTGGGAGATCACCAGGGCCAGACCCACTGGCCTGGAAGACCACCAGGGCCAGACCCACTGGACTGGGAGATCACCAGGGCCAGATCCGCTGGTCTGGGAGACCACCAGGGCCAGACCCACTGGATTGGGAAATCCCAAGGGCCAGACCCATTGGACTGGGAGATCACCAGGGGCAAACCCATTGGTCTGGGAGATCACCAGAGACAGACCCACAGGTCTGGGACACCACTAGGGCCAGACCCACTGGACTAGGAGATCACCAGGGCCTGACCCACTCGACTGGGAGATCACCAAGGTCAGACTCACTGGTCTGGGAGACCACTAGGGCCAGACCCACTGGACTGGGAGACCACAAGGGCCAGACCCACTGGACTGGGAGATCACCAGGGCCAGACCCACTGATCTGGGAGATCACCAGGGAAAGAGCCACTGGTCTGGGAGATCACCAGGGTCAGACCTACTGGTCTGGGAGATCACCAGGGCCAGACCCACTGGTCTGGGAGATCACCAGGGATAGACCCACTGGTTTGGGAGACCTCCAGGGCCAGACCCAATAGACTGGGAGATCACAAGGGCCAGACCCACTGGTCTGGGAGACCACAAGGGCCAGACCCACTGGATTGGGAGATCACCAGGGCCAGATCCACTTGACTGGAAGATCACCAGGGCTAGACCCACTGGTCTGGGAGACCACCAGGGCCAGACCCACTGGACTGGGAGACCACAAGGGCTAGACCCACTGGTTTGGAAGATCACCAGAGATAGACCCACTGGTCTGGGAGATCACCAGGGTCAGACCCACTGGTCTGCGAGATCACCAAGACCAGACCCACTGGACTGGGAGATCACCAGGGCCAGACCCATTGGTCTGGGAGACCACCAGGGCCAGACCCGCTGGACTGGGAGATCACCAGGGCCAGACCCACTGGATTGGGAAATCCCCAGGGCCAGACCCACTGGTCTGGGAGATCACCAGGGCCAGACCCACTGGACTGGGAGACCACAAGGGCCAGACCCACTGGACTGGGAGATCACCAGGGACAAATCCATTGGTCTGGGAGACCAAGGCCAGACCCACTGGACTGGGAGATCACCAGGGTCAGACCCACTGGTCTGGGAGACCACCAGGGCCAGACCCACTTGACTGGAAGATCACCAGGGCCAGACCCACTGGACTGGGAGATCACCAGGGACAAATCCATTGGTCTGGGAGACCAAGGCCAGACCCACTGGACTGGGAGATCACCAGGGTCAGACCCACTGGTCTGGGAGACCACCAGGGCCAGACCCACTTGACTGGAAGATCACCAGGGCCAGACCCACTGGTCTGGGAGACCACCAGGGCCAGACCCACTGGTCTGCGAGACCACGAGGGCCAGACCGACTGGTTTGGGAGATTACCAGAGACAGACCCACTGGTCTGGGAGATCACCAGGGTCAGACCCACTGGTCTGCGAGATCACCAGAACCAGACCCACTGGACTGGGAGATCACCAGGGCCAGACCCATTGGTCTGGGAGACCACCAGGGCCAGACCCACTGGACTGGAAGATCACCAGGGCCAGACCCACTGGATTGGGAGATCACCAGGGCCAGACCCACTGGTCTGGGGGACCACGAAGGCCAGACCCACTGGACTGGGAGATCACCAGGGTCAGACCCATTGGTCTGGAAGACCACCAGGGCCAGAACCACTGGTTTGGGAGGTCACCAGAGACAGACCCATTGGTCTGGGAGATCACCAGGGCCTGACCCACTGGTCTGGGAGATCGCCAGGGCCAGACCCACTGGTCTGGGAGATCACCAGGGCCAGACCCACTGGTCTGGGAGATCACCAGGACCAGATCCACTGGTCTGGGAGATCACCAGGGACAGACCCCCTGGACTGGGAGATCACCAGGGCCAGACCCACTGGTCTGGGAGACCACCAGGGCCAGACCCACAGGTCTAGGAGACCACCAGGGCCAGACCCATTTGTCAGGTAGACCACCAGGGGCAGACTAACTGGTCTGGGAGACCACCAGGGCCAGATCCACTGGTCTGGGAGATCACTAGCGCCAGATCCTCTTGTCTGGGAGACAACCAGGGTGAGACCCACTGGTCTGCGAGACCGTCAGGGCCAGACCCACTGGTCTAGAAGACTGAAGGGCCAGACCAACTGGTTTGGGAGATCACCAGAGCCAGACTCACTGGTCTATGAGGCCATCAGGGCCAGACCCACTGGCCTGGGAGACCACTAGGGCCAGACCATCTTGGCTGGGAGACAACCAGGGCCAAACCCACTGGTCTGGGAGACCATCAGTGTCAGACCCACTGGGCTAGAAGACTCTAGGGCCAGACCCACTGGTTTGGGAGATCACCCGAACCAGACTCACTGGTCTAGG